ACAAATAAAAAAAATTTTCATATGTATACATTTGAAAATTGTTATTGTTATTTGGAATAATTCAATTTATTTTTATGCTAATATTAATCCTTTTTTTTCCCGTTAATTTGATTTGATTTGCATTTTGTGAGAGAAAAATAGAGGAATGAAAAAAAAAAATTTGCAGATTAAATTATCGAAATTATTTAAACTATGGATTTAGTGAAATAAATTTAAAGATGAAAAAAAAAAGAAGGAAAGGAAGAAAAGAGTAATAGAAATTGAAATGATTTAACAAGTATTATAAGATGTTATCATAATTTCTAACAGTCTTTGTTTAATGTATAATGTTGATAAGTTAAGTTCTTATAAGTGTAATCTTAATTTTATTGAAGCAAGTTGTGTTGATTTTAGCGTTGTTTTTTCCTTCTATTTGTTATTTTTCAGTCAGAAATTGTTTTTTTTTTTTAATTTTAATTCAAATTAATTTCTCGAGCAATTTTTTGTGATTGTTATTTATTATATGAAGCAGTATTGTGGTAAATTAATTTGAATTTACAGTGTAATTTTTTTTAATATATGCGATTGCAGATTATTGGATTTCTATCGACTTAATTCGTTTGAATTTCGTGGATTAATTTGTTTGAAAAGTTTTCTCTGGGTCATTTAGTTGTTTAATTTTAGCTGAATTAGTTTAAATCTTAAAATTGAATGTTTGAAGTATTTTGATTGCCTTTAGTTTTATTTTTTCAAGATTTAATTTGTAATTAGTATTGTTCACTGGCAAGTCTTTGTTGTTTGATCTTTTAGTTTACGTTCAGTTTTTTTTTTCATTTACAACAAAATTAAAAGGGATTTTGGCTTTTTTGTCGTTTATTTTTATTATTTTTTTTTAAATTTTATTAATACTTTTTTATGACAAGTTTGAATTTTTTTATTCGATTAGTGATTTTTTCTTCTACGACTATAGATCATGTTAGATTACCGTTTTCCAACTATACCCCTATCGTTTCATAAATAATATTCTGATTTCGATAATATCAATCAATAAAAGAAAAAACAAGAATACTTAAAAATCACATTCATCACTAATTAAAATTGCTCAGGGACATTTGACAATTCGTGGTGGAAAGAAGAATTGGTGAGATCGTAAAATTTTATATGTTTTTTTTTGAATTTTAGATGTTTTTTTTTTTTGAATTTTATATGTTTTTTTTTAAATTGTTTAAAAAAATTTTTAAATGAAAAAAGATTGCAGCTTCATAATGAAATAGATTTTTTCAAATTCTTGCAATGGTGGCTTTCAATTTTTTGTTTTTTTAAGAACATTAACTTTTTTTTTTAAAATTATTTTTAAAAGTAGATGCCAAATTTCATGATATTAATTGAATTATTTTAAACTTTGAAAGGTTAAATTAAACTGAAGTTCATGATTAGAACATGTGGTCCAAGCGCCAACAAAATCAAAAAATCTTTAAATGATGAAAGTTTGTTTTTTCTTTGATATTTCCTCCAAAAAGCTTTAATTTGTTTTTTTGCTATGCAACAATTCAGATACAACAAATTTTTCTTCCTTAGAAAGCACGAAAATTTGAATAAATGAAATCAATTAATTATTAATAGTGCATATAGTAAAAATTATTAATAGTAAATTATTTTTTTTATTATTCAAATTTCTAAAAATTAAAACTTGCTCATTTTTTACGCTTCAATGATAAACTTTTAATGGGTTAAAATGAAATGCTCAAACTTCATGTTCCAATTTAAACAAAAATTCGAAATTTAAAATAATTTGAATAATATCATGCTATTTAAATGGCTATGATTTTTGTCAGGTTAATTGTTTGAGTTATTCAAAATGTCACTATTTCCAATCTAAAATTTCAAAAACAGAGAATGGGAAAAATATTTGAATTGATCAATTAATGATTAGTTTTTGAGCTAACATTAATGAATGCATGCATACGTTTTAAGTTTATTGAATTTTGAAACAATTGCAAATATTTCTACGATAATTTCATATCAAAACAATTACGATTAGCAATTAAATACGTTTATGTATTATCATTAAATTCATTATATACAGTCCATTATGAAAAGTAATCAAAGTTAAATACAAATTTGTTCAAGTCTTTTAAAATTTATTTAAATCCTTTAAAATAAAAAAAAAAGACATCCGTTCAATAAAATAACTCTCTCCACCATGCTTTTATTTGCTTTGCTTTTTTAATCTGCAATATTCTGTTAGCAATACGCACGATTATCATTATCATTGTTATTATTATTATTATATTCAATGTTACAAGTATTATGAGCATTACACTGATCGCTATCACCATCTTTGTCCTATCATTAGCATTATCATTATCGTTATTAGTGTTATTGATTTACCTAAATAAAATATAGAAATTAAATTAACTTCATCATATCAGAAAAATAATATGCGCAAAATTTGACTAAACAAAGTACACATTTTCAAATGTTTTTCTTTTCTAGGGTATAAAATTTGAAATTTGAAAGTATATCACAATAATTCTGACAACTGAAAATTTTCCCTGAAAATATTCGTCTATAGGTGCAAAGGATAGCGGGGGAAAAAAAAATAAGAGAATTTGATCAATTAAAGCGATCTTTTTCTCCCATCATATCTCTCATCTTAGCATTTTATCAAGAACAATTAGTATTTCATCGTCATTCATTCAATTCATTTCATTCAATCAACTTGACCAACTCAATATTAATATATATATATTCATTAATTAATTAGATTAAAGGAACCTAATTAGTTAATGAGCGCATTACCTTTAATGCTGGGTTTTTTATCCTTAATATGATAATATAAGTTAAATGAACCTAATTAAAATATCATTCATCGTACATAGCACAATAAAATCTTTAAATTAAGGCTTTTCAAAAAAGAATGAATAATGAATGAATATAAAGCATTAATTTTATTAAAATAAATATTAAACTAGCAATTTAATAATAGCGGTGAGTTGGGATGAAGAGTTTGCACAGCGATCTTTCGAGTGGTTTGCCAGCTTTGGTTTTAATGGTTTATGGTCTGTAAATATCCGGCACATTTTTTTTTTTTTTTGATTAATGATTTGGTGAACTGGGAGACGTGTAATATTGTTTGTTGTTATATATAATCGTTTGGATTTGATTCTTCGCGTGTAAATTCACGTATGATTATACGTATGGTGTGTATGCGCTAATCTTACTCCTGCTCAAATTTTACATTCATTTTTTTACACGTAAAATGCGTAGTATTGCGTTTAATATTTTAGTGATTCCGTTATTTCTGATTTTTTCTCACTATTTCAGATTGTTTGTTATTTACCATTTCAGATTGTTTCATTATTCTATTATGACGCAATTTTTGCCGGATAATTTACTGGCTTTATTTGAAGCACGACCACCATTACCTTATAAACCACCACCAGATGAATTACTTATTGATCGGAAACGACCTAAAATGTCCGGCTTGTCCGAATACATCCATCTTTTCGAAGTAAGCTTCCGCACTGTAAGATAGCGATTAATACTGTAAAAGTATTGAAGATTTAAATCGACTTTGATTTTAGATTTTAGATATAATACGGCAAGTATTTTTGATTGGTTAGGGGATTAATATTATATTAAAAAGTTGTGAAACCTTTGTGTTAACTATTGAGATATTGATGAAAAAACTATTAAGATAATGAAAAAATAACGAAATAATGATCGTAATATTTTTTTTATACCTGACTTTTTTATTTTTGAAAATTTTATTAAAAGAGAAACTCCACTTAATGATCCCCTAGAACTTGATGCGTAACAAATGTCACATAATGGCATTTCTACTCGTTTACAGGACCCTAAAGATACGCCACCAAAACCAATCTACGAGACGAAAGAAGAAAGGCGAGCTCGACGGGTCAGTGAAATACATTTTTAGATTCGGAATGATTATGTTGTCTTCTGTTTCCTTTGATCTATACCATATATTTGTTTGATGCATAGGTAACGAAAAGATTCGGAATTCTAACCTTTTAAGTTATATAAAAAGGTGAAATTCTGAAGATGGTAATCATTCATTTTCCTGTAGATTGCATGTATAAATAGAAGAACACTGTTTCCTTTTCTCATATAAAAAAAAAATAAATACAGCCATCTTTTAACAGCTATTGCACATTACTTCGATATATTTATTACAGCGAAAAGAAAAAGAAGAATTGCTGGCATATAAAATTGAACAAGGCATTGCAACATGTATGTTACGTTTTTTTTTTTTCATTATTATCAGTTAGTTGTTGATGTATTAATTGTGGAAGAGTTACTTTTGCCTTTTTATTACAAAGTTTCTTAATTTTTAAATTTCGTGACCTGCCGTAATTTTTGTTTTGTTTCAGGGAATCCAGCTCAAAATCCAAGTGCAACCATTGATCCATATAAAACTCTGTTTGTAGCTCGAATAGTAAGCTGTTAATATGACATTAATTTTCTTTCCTAAGTTAATTCGATCCTTTTCTTCGGGAAAAATTTGAAACTTTCAGATTTTATGCTTGCAATTCAAAATCTACCTTGGATTGTGAAGCGAGTGCACGCAGCAGCTCTTATGATTTTTTAAAACAAAGAGAGATTTCCTTAATGTGCTTAGTCTTTGTGTCCAGAGTGCGAAAAAAAATTTTTTTTTGTATTTTAGAATTACGAGACTTCGGAATCAAAACTTCGGCGAGAATTCGAGCAATTTGGAAAAATTACGCGCGTAAGTTAGATTCATTCGTCGTGAGTCTTATTAAGTTTGCGGTTCAAGAAACTTGTTACAGGATGCAAAGCTTTTGCTTGCACTTCACAGGATTATTTTTCTCCCGAAATATTATACTGTTCATTGTGCAGTGATTAGTATGTGCTTTTATTTAGAATTTTGGGATGAATAAGATTATGTTGGTACCGCAACGCTCGCATCATCGCATTTGTCGGATTCACATCTCTCTTAAGGCTCACTGAATGATCAAGTTATTTAGTGACGACCAACTGATATTAGTAATATTTAGATTTTGATTTTTCAGCTAGTTCTGGTTCATGATAAGAATGGAAAACCACGAGGTTACGCTTTTGTCGAATATCAACATAAAGAATCGATGTCAGGTAATTTCTAAATTTGTTAATTAAAATGTTGAAGTGCTTTGATAACGGTAAGTTAATTGTTAATTTATTTAAAAAAAACATCTTTTATAACTAGATAATGATTGTATTATCAAAATTTCTTATAATTCTGTATTCAGTAAGTTTTGTGAACGCTAAAGCAATGGCTTGGCGTGAATATCTAGATTTACTCAGTTTTCTTTCAAGTTTGATTTTTATACCGAATCGTTAGACTCTACAAAGTTCAAATAGGAATGAAAGTATACGTTAGAATGAATCTTTGTTGTCTATGTTTTGAAGGAATTTGTTTTCATTGAACTGCCAGCTTTACTGTTTCTTTTTTATACCAGTCTTGTTCCGCCTTTTCTTTTTGAAATATTTTGCAACCGTTTTTACTCCTAAAATTTACGGCCTTGTTAGAGTTATTTTAATCTTATACACTGTCCAGTCGATATCTTGTTTTTGTTTTTATTTTGGTAAATGAACCAATTTATGAGGACATCTTGAAGAGGATTCCTTCACCGTCTTTCTCACGACTTTAGTTGACGGATAACCCGAACAATGCTATATGATAAATGGTAATAATATTGTGGGTTACGTTTCCTGATACAGTTACTATTGTGATTCCTTTTTATTGTCATCACTGGTTCTTTCCATTAGAAAAAGAATGAAATAATTTGACTTAATTTTAGAGGACTATTAATGATGGGTGAGTAATTATATCTTTAAGTCAGTTTCAGTTGCTGACACAATTTTTTTGTTTGATGTTGTAGATGGGTAAGTTACATGATTGTGTGACATTTTGGACATGCACATCTTTCTTGGCACAACTTTTTTAATACTTCTTTTTTTGGAAATCTACAAAAACTTATGGTGCTGTATTTGCAGAAGGGCAGCATTCGCTATGAATGGTCGTGCCTGTCTCTTGAACACATACATCAGCCATGGGTTTGTTTGTAAATACTGTGTTGAGTCGTCTAAGTTTTTGATACAAAAGTTTTGAAAATTAAAAAAAAAAACAAAAATGATGAAGTACATAATAATATGCGACTCACACAGATAAATGGGTAAGAAATTTGAAATTGGCGCAAGATTGCAGAGGCTTTTGCCATGGTTTGTTTTAAGTGCGGTAAGGCCCTATGTCTATACGTGTGTATGTGTGTGTATGTATATGTATATGTGTGTGTCTGCGTGTGTGTGTGTGTGTATGTGTGTGTATATGTATGTTTATGCTACCATTAATTAGTAATACTGTCATAAGAACTAGCAAATAACTGATCGAGGCTGCCAGTAGTAGACAGTAATGTTTTATAATAAGAATAAAAGAATACCGTTTTGAAACTAAGAGATAGGATATATCTCTATAATTTCGAGAATGTAGAATGTTTGTTATTCATCGAAGTGCCTACCCAGACCAGAAGGTTGGGGTAAGTAGCGTGCTATTTTTGTACCTGCTGTTCGATACATAGATATTGTAGCTGGCAGCTTCATTTTTTCCTGCTGGTATGAAAATTGAGAGTTTATTTATCACTTATTTTTACTTTTTACTCTGCTTGTGAGCAAAAGGAAAAATATTCATTATTTGGTATTAAAGGCGGGTAAGTTGAAAAAAGGGGTAAGTTATGTGGGTAAGTTTTCACATGGACGCATGCTTCTCCAATTGGCGCATGCTTTTCATCTAGCAGATACTGTATTGTCATTAACGTACATGTAAAGGTAAGCTGGGTGAGTTCCTTTGAGTAGCAATAGTTTGCATAACATTAAGTAATTATGTTAATATCAATAATTATTATTTGGACAAGAAATTAGGAAACTATCATTACATTTCGTTTTATTGACGGCAAATTATTTCTCCAAACGTGGAATTATATTTGGCTGATTATCATTAAATTTCATGATGTTGATGCAGAAAGTAGCTAACTACATTGGCAAAATAGACTCTGCACGCGCAAAGTTAAGTGTTTTTCTAATCCACAAAAAAAAAGTTTTTAGAAGCTTACAAAAAAGCGGATGGCATGAAAATTGATGGACGACGGGTGGTGGTTGATTACGAGCGTGGTCGTACGCAAAAATCTTGGTTACCGCGACGATTAGGTATGTTCGTTATCGTTCAATGCATATAAAGCGTAGCAGTGATAAATACAGTTGATTTTGTAATCTGTTTTTACTCACAAGTTCACTTTGTAACACGAAAATTCATTGTACTGACTTAGAATTTAAAATCCTAAAGTTGTACCATCCTAGGATAATACTATTAATCATTACAAGTCTCTAGGTGGTGGTAAAGGTGATACACGACGTCTTCGTGAATCGAAAGCTGTGCTTGAAGCAGCTGCATTAGAAATGGCTCATGAGGATCGTGATCATCGATCTTCATCCACTCATCGCTCATACTCACATGATCGGGATCGTGAACATAATGGTACAGTTTCGTCCAGTTCAAGGCGTCACAGTCGTAGTCGTGATCGTGATCGTGACCGTGATCGTGATCGCGACAGAGATCGTGATCGTGATTCAAGACGGTCAGTTTTTACAATTTAACAAATAATTTATTTCATCTTTCTAATAGATATTTCATACATGATTTTTCAGCAGACGAGTAGTGTGCAATGTATATTACTGGTATACGAAATCGCATTTCATTGGATTTAATTTTTAAGTGATGATGTACTTTCTTGTGCATTTTACATGCGATAGAGAGGATTTATTTTAGGTACGATGATCATCGTTCGTCGCGTGACGGTCGAGGCGATGGTGATCGAGATCGGGAATATCGTGATCGGGATCGTGACCGGGATAGAGGCCGCGATTATGATCGTCGGCGTCATTAAATGGCACGATGACTAAAGCAGGACTTTCGTTTTTTTTTTCTTTTTTTTCTTTGGTGAATCTGAGACTGTTCATTGGGATATTTAATTTTAATGGCGGTCTAAAAAATTTTGAGAACAAGATTTATTTAACGCATCAGATCTTCATGTCACGGTAAGTTTAACTGCTCATTACGCGGCTTTGGAGAATTACTTTATTAATTGTTTGAAGTGAGTTGTATGATGCTTGTATGAATCGATATGAAATTTGGTCTATAGTTCTTGCTTTTCAATTTTGAATTGATAAATTTTGGATAATCACTTGAATTTTTTGTTTAACAAAGCATTAGATTCATTATATTTTCCAAGTATGATATCAAATTTTTGCGATTAGTAGAATCCGTATTTTTATCCGTATTTTATCCGGTGGTTGTTAGGATCCGTATTTTTATTTCAACCGATATATTCACTAATTTCTCCTATGTTTAGCAGTTGCAGGAAAAAATATTTTAAATTACGACTTTATAAATCGGGTAATAAGAGATTGGATTTTAAAATACAAATTAATGGATATTTATTGTTGGGCAGTAATGGAATAAATAGTAATCACTGCCGTTTTTATTGATTTTTCACTCATTTTATTTAACGTATCATTGTACCAGTATCTTCCTAATGTATACAATCGCGAGTTTCTCCGGGGAATTTACCAGCTAGTTCAAGTGTGCCTGCATTATATGATTTGCGCGGTGTTTTTCCTGCTGTGATGTATGTATCTGGTATCGTAATGCTGACTTTTCTCTGGCATGGCTAAAATAGTAAGTGAAAGTAAAATTGCAAAAAAAAAAAGAAAAAGAAAATGGATTCTTTTTTGAATATAATTTCTGCAATTAATTTATAAATGAAATGGTTTTATTAATGGTTGAAGAAAAATTTACTGACTTATGAATTTTCATTTCTTGCTTTTTGTTTTATAAGATCATATAAATTAATTTTGCAATATGAAAATAACTTCATTACCTTAAATTCATCGTTGCAATCATGATAAATGTTAATTTTTGGATCAATTCGTGACATTTCACGAAGATGGCCGGAAATATCGAAATTTCCTCTCGAATCAGTTTTTGTCTCACCCATGAAATCATCCGTATCAAATCCTGGAATATTTTACACATATTTGTTGATAATATCATATTATTTTTTTTTGGCTTTCAATAATTTATTTTAAAATTCATTATTGCTATCGAATCGGATGATTTACCAATCATATTGATGTACGATTGACAATTTTCTTTTCTGTATCATTTCAAATGAATAACAAAACGAAAAGAATGCTTTCTTTCATTCATTAATTCATTGAATTAAAATTTTTCTTTTTTCGTCAAAATTTCAGTAGCATATTTCAATATCATAGCAAATAAATATCGAACATCGTTTGCAAAGTAAAGATTAGTAGCGTTATATATCAGGAACAATTGATTATTTCAAATAAGATTTTCAATCCATTCCAGCATCTTTCAGAATATCTCTCGACTACACTTTCCGAAATGTCGTCTGTCAAGTACATTTTCCACAATATCTCTTGACTGCAATTCCTTGCTCTTCTTAAATATGTTAATGAGATTCTTTTTTTTTTTTTTTAGCTTCATAAAATAAATTACATGAACCTCTATCATCATCATATAATTTGATGAGTACCCCTGAAGCAGGTCGTCCATTACACATTAATGTACCGCTTGCTCTCGTACTTTGCATTCGTCCTATGAGACCACCAACCGCACAGAATACGATAGAAAAACCAGCAGTTAATAGCACTAATAAACGGAACATCTGAAAATTTTTGGTTTCAACTTTTTTTTTTTTCAGTGTGGAAATAACATTTTTTGAATTATTATTATATGTCATGGAATGAGAAAATATTTGATCCAAAAATTCTATATCAAACATTTGAATAAAAATACATGCACGATAGCTACAAAAATATTTTTATAAAAGAAAAAAAAAAACATTCAAAATATCCTTTACAAATATCCTGTGATTTAATAGGAATAAATTTTATTTCATTATTATCTTTTTTTTTTCTTTTAAAATTGTAATTTTTCTATAGGAGACGAAATAAAATTTTCAAAGAGAAATAATAGAAGAAAAAGTGGAAACGAATAAACTTTAACAATTAATTGGGCAAAAAAAAAAAATCAAGCATTCATTCTATTGTTTATAGCTAAATTAGATAATTTTCGTAATTATTAGTGCATGTAATCGTAAAAATTAGAATCATTTATAAATGCTGAGATAATTTATAAAAATTTTTCATTTCAAATGAATGATGCTTCGTCACTTGTTGGCAAAATTTTGAAAAAAAAAAATTTAATTTTAATCAAATACTAAATGTTATAAGTAATACTAAATTTAAGCTTAAAATGATAAAACATTGAAAATACGGGAAATTGGGAGGTATAGTAACAACTGTTATTATGAGCTGGCTGTTGCTTACATAATTTGATGAGTCAACATTTCCAGCGAGTTTTCAATCATAATAAAATAACAGTTGTTCGAATATATGCTACCATAATCAATCAAAATATCAAAACTATCCTTGAAATATCACGTATAATGCCTAAAATGATATCATATACATATTATAACAAATGCAAATTTATGAGTGTAATTTCTATCATACATATCACTAATTATTATTTTTGCAATGGAAAATATTCCAGTTATTTGTTGAAATCAAATTAAACTTATTTGTAAATAAAATTTCCTAATTTTCACCATGTTTTATTGTAAATAAATTAATATTTCGAAATCTAAACGAAATTTTAAAGTTGAACAAAA